CCGACGGTGAAGTTGTCAGTGGTGTGGGCCAGCAACTTCTTCTACATCTACCAATTCAACAACGTGAACGACCTCCTCTTCAACTTGAGGACCAAGAGGCTCAACAACATCTTCTACTGGGGCACGCAGATGGTCAGCTCGATGGCCATCGGCTACGTGTTGGACTTCAGCTTCAGGAGCCGACGGACGAGGGCAAAAATACTGGTGTAGATCAGTAGTGGGGGAAGACAACTGTCGCAATGCACGAGAGCCAAGGGAAGAGGGGTGCATCGAGCAGGTTCGGCAACGTGTGCGAAACGCAGGGAAGATGGGAGTGCATTGGGTAATAGAGGAGATCAAAGTTGATGTCACCGATAAAATGCAAGAGAGTCTCTAATACCATAAAAGAATGAAATGAAGTGTTAGAGCTAGTCTCAGAAAATTTACCAAAGAGTAATTTGGTAACCCAAAAAAGATAAGAAAGTAGAAAAAATAAAAACGACAAGAACACCAGATTTACGTGGTTCGGTCAATTGACCTACATCCACGGACGAAGGAGGAGTAAATCACTACTATAAAAAAGGGACTATTATAAATGCCTTAGGAAGATGTTCCTAGGCCATTTCAAAGCCCAGGCCTTTATTTATAGTTTAAACAGGAGATACCAAACTTGATTTTTCTGATGTGGGACTTGCCAAACTAACAAATCTCCACCTTGGCATGTCTCAACATTAACAATTAACAAAACTTACTCCACCTTATTCACAAAAGCCCCAATGGGCAATCATCAACAATGAACACCAACCAAGTCCAAGCACTGCTTGAACTTGTAAACCGGAAGAGGCTTCATAAGCATATAAGCTAGATTGTCTTTCGTATGAATTTTCTGAACAAGGATTTTTCCCTCAGCAATGGTACCCCGAATAAAATGAAACTTTACATCAATGTGTTTCGTCCTTTCATGATACATCTGGTCTTTAGTCAAATAATACATCTGGTCTTTCATGATTCACCGAACAAACCTCTTAACTATAAGACTTCTTTGATCGCCTCTATCACTGCCATATATTCTACCTCTGTAGTAGATAAAGCCATGACAGGTTGTAAGGAAGCTTTCCAACTAACTACACAACCGCCAATGTAAAAAACATAGCTTGTCAAAGATCTTCGTTTATCAAGATCCGTAGCATAATCAGAGTCAACGAAACCAACCAAAGTATCATGATTTTTCCCAAACTCCAAACAAGCATCTGAAGTCCCTTACAAGTATCTGAGAATCCACTTCACAACCTGCCAATGTGTTTTACTTGGGCGAGACATATATCTGCTAACCACACTGACTACTTGTGAAATATCTGGATGAGTACAAATCATTGCATACATAATATTGTCGATGGCACTGGAACATGGAACTTGCACTATATATTCTTCCTCTTCAACTAACTATGGTGATTGAGCAGCAAATAGTCGAAAATGGCTAGCAAGAGGAGTACTTACTGGCTTAGCGTTTTTAATGCCAAACCTCTCCAAGACTTTCTTGAGGTAATTTTTCTGGGTCAGAAATAATTTTCTAACTCCTCGTTCTCTTTTGATCTCCATGCCAAGAATTTTCTTAGTTGCTCCCAAATCTTTCATTTCAAATTCACTACTTAGTTGCATTTTCAAAGTATAAATTTCTAACAAATTTTTAGCTGCAATAAGCATGTTATCAACATCAAGCAACAAATATACAAAAGTGCCATCAGTTAACTTTCGGAAGTAGACACAGCTATCATACATGCTCTTCGTGTAACCATGACCCAACATAAAAGAATTAACCCTCTTATACCATTGTCTTGGAGACTGTTTCAATCCGTACAAGGATTTCTTTAACAAACAAACATGGTCTTCCTTACCGTCAACTTCAAATCCATGAGGTTGCTCCATGTAAATTTGTTCTTCAAGTTCACCATGTAAGAAAGCTATCCTGACATCAAGTTGCTTCAATTCTAAATCATACATGGCAACTAAAGCAAACAAAACACAAATAGAGCTATATTTAACAATAGGTGAAAATACGTCATTAAAATCAACACCATGTACCTGACTATAACCTTTTGCAACTAATCGTGCTTTGTACCTTGCATCTTCAACCCCTGGAATACCTTCCTTCTTTTGAAGACCCATTTGCATCCAACAATTTCCTTACCCAAAGGCGGCTTCACAAGATCCCAAGTTCTATTCCGATGGAGAGATTCAATTTCTTCATTCATCGCAATCAACAACTTAGCGAAATTATCATAAGAAACTGCATTTGAGTAGGTAGTAGGCTCACTAACTTCACTTGTTTCTTCTGCAACAGACAAAGCATACGCAACCAAATTTGTATATCATTGTGGTGGTCGAATATCTCTCCGTGGTCTATCCTTGGCTATGGAATATTGCTCTTCATCTAGATCATCTTTGTCAGTAGACTCAAGACCATCTATTGGCATTCTTTGAGTAAAAGAGTTCGACTTAAAAGAATCTGAACTACCAATCTCAAGCTCCACCTACACACTATCATTTGTACAACTAGTAGATTCCTCTTTGGAAGATAACATAGACAATTCATCAAAAGTAACATCTTTACTGATTATAAATTTTGGGGATTTAGGATCAGAACACCATAATATGTATCCTTTCACCCCAGAAGCGTACCCAAGGAAAATATACTTTTTCGCTCGAGGCTCTAATTTTCCTTCATTTACATGCATGTATGCTGGACACCCAAAAATTTTTAAATCAAAGCAATCAGCAGGAGTACCTGACCAAACTTTCTCCGGAGTTTTAAAGTTAAGTGTTGTAGAAGGAGCGCGGTTGACAACGTAACAGGCCATATTAATCACCTCTGCCCAAAAGTCCTTTGTCAACCTTGCATTTGAGATCATACACCTTGCTCTCTCCAAGAGTGTTTTGTGTTTACGTTCGATCACACTATTTTGCTGAGGCGTCATCCTAACAGTGCGATGCTAAACAATTCCTTTATTTTTGCAGAATTCATCAAAGTCACCTTCACAAAATTCCATGTCATTATCTGTTCGAAGCCGCTTAATCTGTTTACCTGTTTGCTTCTCAATCAAAGCATTCCATTGTTTAAAGGTTAGAAAAACATCATTTTTATACTTTAGAAAATAAACCCAAACTTTCCTAGAATAATCGTAAATGAAAGTTAACATATACCTAGCACCACCCTTAGACTGAACACGAGCTAGACCCCAAAGGTCTGAATGAATATAGTCAAGAGTACCATTTGTTTTGTGAACTGCCGGAGAATTGAAGCTGACTCTTTTCTGCTTTCTAAAAATGTAGTATTCACAAAAATCCAGTGGCCAAGTACTCTGTCCGTAAAAAAGACCTATTTTACTCAATATGCTTAAACATTTTTCACTCATATGACCCAAACGTATATGCTATAATTTGGTGATGTCATAATCAGACAATGATGATGACGAAACTGCAACTGAGCCTGTGACAGTAGTTCCCTACAAAATATACAAGCTACCAGACCTACAAGCTTTCATAACAACAAGAGCACTTCTAGAAACTTTCATAACTCCACCTTCAGCTACGTATTTACACCCAAGAACCTCTAGGGTGCCTAAAGAAATGAGATTCTTTTTTAAATCAAGAACATGTCTAACATTAGTGAGTATCCTCACAATACCATCATGCATTTTAATTCGGATTGTGTCTCTACCAACAACATCACACGAGGCATTATTGCCCATCAAAATAATTCCACCATTACAAGATTCATATGTGGAAAACAAATCTCTATTAGGACACATGTGATAAGAACAATCCGAATCTAAAATTCATTCATTTTTAGACCTCGTCCTATCATCAGTAGCAAAGAAAATATTTCTAACATTCTCATCAGTTGCTACACTAGCTTCAGCGGACTCAGTAGTTTTCTCAATAATTTTTCCCTTTTGTTTTAATTTATTTTTTAATTTAAAGCAATCAGCCTTAATGTGTCCCATTTTATGACAATATCTACACTCCAAATTTTTATGTTTGGATTTAGATCTAGATTTAGATCTACTTCTGTTAAATTTCCTTTTATCTGTTCTACCCTTGACAATCAGACCTTCAGCCTGATTCTCTCTACTTTCGCTAGTGATATCCCTGTCTATCTATGATTTTAGTGTAGATTTAATTTTCTGATACGAAATTATTTCTTTTCCATAAATCATAGTATCACGGAAATACTTAAATGATTGAGAAAGATAACACAAAAGCAACATAGCCTTATCCTCGTCATCAATTTTTGCATCTATATTCTCCAAATCTATAACTAAGGAATCAAATTTATCAAGATGTGAGAGTATAGATGTACCTTCAATCATCCGAAGCATATACAAACTCTACTTCAAGTAGAGACAATTCGCTATTGTCCTCTTCATATATAAGGCTTTAAGTTTGTCCCACATGCTCTTAGCCGTAGTCTCTGTAGCTACCTCCCGTCAAACTTCGTCAGAGAGATTTAGAATAATGCTTGATCGGGTCTTCTTATCCATACCCATAAGATCTTCCTTCGATGTACTATAGGTCAATTGACCAATATCCACGGACGAAGGAGGAGAAAATCACTACTATAAAAGAGGGACTATTACAAATGCCTTAGAAAGATGTTTCTAGGCTATAAAACATGAAATTACTAAACAAGAAAAGCCTAAAGCAAACAATTAGGTTTTCTTGTGGTTTATCTGACTTCAAAGTACAGGCCCTTATTTATAGTTTAAACAGGAGATACCAAACTTGATTTTCCTGATGTGAGATTATGTGGGACTTGCCAAACTAACATATGGTGCTTCCTATTTATACATGGGAGGAAGGATTTTTCTCAGTAAAATTTGCTTGTGCAGTTGAAAATTTTTAGCTGTTATTAATTATGTCATAATTTCTACGTCACTGCTCCAATAACACATCCATCTTCCAGTATAAATCCAGAATAAATTAAAAGGTGAGAAGTTCTGTTAGCATTATGTCTAATTTCTTTTGCTTTTATGCATGCCATGGAGAAGGCTAAGGAATGGATGAGTTTTGAAGATTGTCTGAGTTCTTCAGACTCGTTCAATCAATGCAGGAATGCTAGGAAAGTGCCATTGCTCCAAGTCGTCAGCATGGACGAGTTGGGGAAGAATTGCATGATGAAGGATTCTATTTCAAGAACAGCATTGATCCTGACTTCTTCTGAGAAATTGAGAGCAGTTTCAGTACCAACTACAACAAGAAGTTGTGACATTTTCTCCACTTGAAATGTACAAAAAACAGTAGAAAGCAGTCTCCAACTCTGATGAATGGATTCACTGCAAAACTCCTACTTGTGATTTTGAAATCACTCTTCTCAAGTAGTTCAAAGATCTCTGATAGCTGAGAAATCCCATGAACCAGAACTCAAACTCATCCACAGTCACTATCTGGATGTACTTTTGGTTAGGCTTCTGTGAGTTCTCACACAGGCTGGCTCTTCTCACCCTTCCTACTGGGATCAAAACCTGTGGGAAGCGATTGAACTCAGTTATGTGTCAGAAACATTCTACACACTGATCAACAAGTTTGATTCCCAAGAAGAAGTACCTTGTAAGGAACTCTGACCAAATTTCCTCTGGGAGAAGTAACTCTGATTGATCTATCACTGCGGAAGGCGATCTTGTGAGTTGAAATGAAGAGCAGCCCTGCTATGGGACCAGCTGTGGTTGACAGATAGCACTGGAATGCCTGCAGCAGCTTTTCTCCTCTTTCGACTGAGAAATTTTTTCTGAAAACTCTTTCGACACCTCCAGCTCGAAGGATCTTTGCACCCAAGCTCAATTTTCCCTTCACAGTCTCTGAGATTTTGGGCCCTAAACTCACTGCACTTCCAAAAAAATCACAAGGCTTCTTGCTTAGTTGCTAATGTTTGGCAACAATATTTGCCATGGAGGGAACCTGTAAGCTTATTATGCCGTGAGCTTACCATGATCTTTGATGCCTTTCAGATAGCCGTCCGCTTTTTTGCTGAACTTTCTCATCCAATCAACAGGTGCATCCGCTTCTGCATTCCAAAACGATTCTGTGAGCTCCTAGAAGTCATCGAGAATAACAAGTAACTTCACATGACAAAGATGGTATTACTTTGTTTGTACTGGGAGGACTCGTACGAGGTGGGTTGAAGGCACAGTCTCTTGAGCTCCGTGACGACTGCAGACTTTCCACACATTTCGGCTGCATATCTGATCGACTGGACAGGAACGCCTACAGCTTGAGCACGGCTTGTGTTCTTCATGTTGAACCGAGGCACAGCTACCGATTCCACTCTCCGGGAGAAAGGTCGGGGAGAGTCTATGCTCCAAGAGACCGGTGTGGAGGCCTTTTATAAGGCGAAGCAACCGCTGATACTGTCACCCCAACCATACTGCACAATGCGTGAAGCAGAATCAGCATGGAATCATCAGCCACAAAGGCATCCTCGTGAATCCAGAAAAGAAAAGGAAAAGTCGATCGACAGTTCATCATCAGCCACCAGAAACTATAAAGAAAAGTAAAAGAAAGCCCCCCAAAGCCTTCTTTTGCTGCCTTAACCGAGTGAGCAAGTTCCGAGATAACATATCATACTGGGGCATGCCATGTGCTTCGATCGAATCAAGGCAACTCCACTCTCATCTCTTTCCCCAAAAACTATCATGCAGCATGTCTGACACGGTTGTGAGTCAGCAGCTTATTACGTAGAAGCTTTTCAGTGATAGCCTACGTTCATGCTTCTTTGCTTGATCGGGGAGAAATATATAACAGTACACGAAGAGAATGAGAAGGAAAGCTATCGAGGCAACCTTCCGATGGAAGGAAAGTGATTGGGATCACATCAATGGAGACAAAAAAAACGCAAAGATCAGATGCATTGTGAGACCCACCAAATGTTTCTCCAGATTCGGCCTTGACTTTTGACTGTGAGACCAGCTTTTTCCCCAGCCATTCCCACTTGCAGGTGGAAGGCAATCTTAAAGGCCTTCCACTTGAACTTGTCTCCCTCGAACTAGGAGATGCGCAGCGTAGATAAGATCTGCTGGGGCCACATTCAAGACCCAAGTCTGAAGCATTGAGATGTGCAGGTAACTGCTTATTTCTGCAGGAGAAAACGCAAAACAACATGAATCCATGAATCCCTTACTATTTAGACCCAAAGCAACAGTTAAACGACATCCAGTTCTAAGACTGCAACATCATCGGAAAAGGATGTAACCGCAGCCATCGGTTTCCATGAGCCGATGATGAGATTGCACGAGGAAAAGTGGTCCTTCCTTCCATCTTTCCACCGGGATAGAATTGGTGGCCATGTTCGCTGGGGTCGCCTGCCGTGTGCCACATGAGGTGCACCTACTGCTAAAATGAGGGTACCACCCACCATATATACCAACACCATGAGGGCCACCTGATGATGGCTGAGGAGGTTGCTCCAGGGGCTTCCCCTGTACTTGAAACGAATGAAGTACTTCTTTGGGCGGCTTGCAACCTGTAGAAGATGCGTCGATAGGAATTGCAGACTTTAGGGTTCTGGTGAGGAGGCCCATTTAGGTAGCAAAAGACTTCACCCACATAGGTATTTCCATCAACACTAACAACAGTACTGTCGATGAAATTGGTTTTATTGATTACAGCACTGCAAGCTTGCACTTCTGGACGAGTACAGTGTTCGGAAGAACCCGACGACAAGGTAGTAATCAATCTCTTAATATTTTCTCCGGAGAGGGTTCAAGAAAATCGAAGAACAAGGAAGTTTGACACGATTATAATTTTCTCGCATCCATAAAAATGAGACTTCACTCACAAAATAGTTGTTTTCATCCCATATGTGTTTCATCACCAGGAAAAGAATACCAAGATCTATGTAGAATGTGGCGACATCCAATATGTCCCTCAAAGATCGTCTTATGACCGGAAATCCTTTTATCGCAAGAAGGCAACATCCAAGCAGGTAGTTGGTGGAATACATCACGTTTAGATCCATGCACTCATCGCAGAGAAGCCATAATCTCCATGATGTTACGTCGCGTTTACTGAGTTCAGATCCATGCAAGTTCTGACATCTGCACGTGAAATTGATGTTCCTTTCCCTCGTTTAGATCCGTGCGAGGACCCGATGTGCGGCTCGGATGCGCCCTAGATCTCTCCTGCATGCCCTCGAAGACTGGCAGGCGACTGGAGAAGCACAAGAACAAGTGAATCCAACCATGGGGAACGGATAGTATGACTGAAAAGCCTGGTGAGCTATTGATTCACGACAGTGGTATGATACTGCTTGACCAGCGGACGTCCGCTCGCCATGCGTGCATGGACCAGACGATGCCATCGATCCTTGCTGGTAGTTGAATTGAGATTTGACGAAAGGTGTTTTCCTTGATGCATCATGAACAGTCATGTCATTCTTTTTAAGGATGTTGATCTGTCATGGGCTTCAATCGGAACTTTGATGGTAAATGTTACGATATTTTAGCATCAGAAAGAAGAACAGAAACAACAGGTTCGAGTATTTGATGAATCGTAAAGCCACAGCAGAATAAGATCAAGACCATCAATACAATCGACGATCATCGCCATATGACCTTGAATCTGCAACTCCGATGAACTCTGCTTGATTCCGATCCACAGATCAAAGCTCCAACTTTCAAGTGCATCGTTAAACCCGATCCACTGATTTCAGCTTTTACATCAACAAGCATGATCATGCCAAAAATCCTTTATATATCCAGGATGTTTGGAGTGCTGTGATATGATTTCTTGATCATCTCAACCAGAAGTAGGCAGACAGACGCCAGAAGCAAGCTTCTTACAGTTAAATAATCAAAATAATATGCTATATAGATCTCGTAAAAAGTTTCAAATACGTAATGAGAGCTTCAAGCATGAAGCTGTTTATTTTATATGATGAGCAAAAAAGAGAGAGTATAACTCGGAAACATTACCATAGCTTCAACCTAAATCTGCAGCTGCTGGATCGAACGCTGATGTCGTCGCTGGTAGTCAAACTATCCACCACCACACTGCATCTCACGTTGAACGTCACCTTCCACAGCGTCAGCTTGTCAAGCTTCACCCTCACCGGCACGTCGCCTAGGAAGGTTAATGGTAATACCCCTGCCAGTTGCTGCTGCTGCAGTTCCGCGAGCAACTCGCTTCCTTCTTGTGTTCCTCCGGTGAGGAAAACATGCAGCACCATCGTGTTCCTGTGGCCCTGGTAGAACACCGGAAAGCTCCCGGTGCAGAGCCTCTCGTCGGCGTACCACAAGCTCAGTTCACTCCCCTCCTCGTAGTATATCCCGATCTTCCTGTTCGGGTTCGTTGCCATCACCGCCACGTCGAACACGGCACCGACGGTTATATCGTCGTCGTTGACACCGAATCTGGAGACCCTGAGGTGGTCCACCGAGTACTTGGGCAACCTGAGGCGGAACACGACGTACACGACACCGGCGGCGGCGGCGATCAGCACGATGAGGATGATGACTGCGAGAAGAGTCCAGCACAGACACCTGCTGCAGCGGCTCCTCCTCTTCGGCGGTCTCAGACGGGCGGTACCTCCAGGAGTCGACGGCGACACCGACGCGCCGCTCTTCTCCGATACTGTGAAGCTGGAGGGAGAAATATGCATGTCCACCGTATGGATTCTAAGTTGCTCCGCCATGTCTCAGCCTTGATGTGTTTGGCTACCACTGTACAACAGTTTGCCAATGAGACGAGACTCCACGCGCATTCAACGTTAGACTTTGGGTAACAAAATTGATTGAGGTTTAGTAGATTATTTAGAGACTTTGGTCACAAACATCTTTCCACATACAACATTCATAGCAATAAAATAAGTCCGCGAGATCTGAAGAGAGTCAATATTACATAATATTGTCTTTAAATATCTAAAGAAATTATTTCTATATAATCTTATGTAAATTAAAAATATTTTCATGTCTACAAAGAGGAAATATATGAAATCATCAATAATAGCATAATTTTATGAAATTCAATGGATTAACGTCTAAACAAAATTAAGTGGACAATAAAATTTATATATTGAAATTTTCAGAAATTACAATAACTGAAAAGAAAATAAAACGAAAGAAGGTAAAGTGGCCTACCTCTTTATCTTCGATAAGATGATCTCTCCTCGTTGTTCTCCGGTAGATAGACGACACTCGATGAGGAACCGAAAAGAATTGTTTGTGGCCTTTAAATAGGAGGTGAAGGAGAACTCTCAAAAAGGTAATAAATAAAATTTGTTTCGGATTTAATTATTCACTAATCAATCTAATATCTCACCAATCATGTCTACCCAAAATTTGAGTCACCGAGTAGGAAATAAATTAGATCGAATAAGAGCAAACCCTAGTTTCGAATTTTGGGAAAGGGAAAAATATCTCATTGATTATAGGAACTTTACATTTGGTGAGCGTGATGGACTACTCTTTCAGGTTTGGAGTAAGATTATAGGATTCTTTTCTTGGCAAGCTTCTTTTGCTACTTGACTGGGTGTTGTGGGCGGAATAGAATAGGGTAGCTTCCATGATAATGTCACCTGGCACTGATATTGAAGTGTCTGTATAAAGCTGATGATAACTCTTGTTTGATTTTGATTGGTGTGATGCGGTGAAAATTTTATGATGTGGGGGAAACTTTGGTGCAAATGAAAAATTCTGTCAAAAATAGGTTTTATTGTTCGAAGAATATTTATTTATATGTGAGATGAAGATTGAAAAGAAGGTTAAGATGATTCCTATATTTGATATAAATTGATTCTAGTTTCTTAGTTAAATTGGTATTGATTCTAATTGGAATTGGTCCACAACATATATTGAGTTTGATTGATATCCAAGCCAAGGTTTAAAGATAAATCCAAATCATAGTTTGAGTCATACATGAATAAAGATAAATTTTAGGAAAAAGAATAACAACTTAACAAGCCAAAAAGTTTTATCATTACATGTATTGTATTTGATCTACAACTTGACAAGGATAAACTTTTGTGTATATATTAGGTTTGAATCATAACTTAATGAGCTTAACATCTTAGGCTTAACCTTATAGGTATATTAGAATCAGCATCGATTCTAATATACAGCTCTTAATTTCAAGAATTCTGCACTCAAAGAAGGTGTGTCAGTACCATTCATCCAAGTTAGCATTGATTTAATTATTTAAAGCCCTCATGCACTGGCATCGGCAGCATTCTCTTAGCTCTTTATTGAAGGTAGGATTTGCCATTCGGAAAAAGTGCAAAGACCAAAGAATGGACAAGACTTAGGTACTATGGCAAAGAAAGCATTTGCAAGTGATCACCAAAATTGTAATGGTTTATGGCATCATCTTGAACTATTGTGCTCTTCAGGTCTTGCGATTTGGATAGGGGCAGCAGGAACTCGATTCCACCACTCCTTGATCCTCCTCACCAACTTCTCACTGCTCTCTCTCCTCACTGGCATCTTTCTTGTGTATAACTCCAGAAGCACCAGAGTGAGGATGTGGCCGAAAGGCACCAGGGTGAATCCTACTGCCACAATGACCATGGCAATAGCAACTTTCTGGGTTGTCTGAATGCAAATTCTTCAAGTTAAAAGGCCAAAGTAATTTTATCTGTGGTCTATTTTATAAATAAATACATCCAATAGCAGGTAAAATGAGTTGAAAGTGAAAATTATTTGAAAGACAAACCTTTGGAAATGCTGCTAAAAGAAGAGCTCTTAGCTTAAGAAGGGAAATGGTTCCTGTCCGAACATTTGTTTGAAGCTGAGAAACACCTTCTTGTAACATCAATAACAGCTCAACAGGGTTCCGATTAGGAGGAGGTGTAACTTGGAATACTTGAATTGGTTTTCCACCGCTATGGTGCTTATGCCAGAACATGTAAACAGCAGCAGATAAGAAAAAGCATGGCAAGATGTACCTGACCCAACCCCTGACATTATAGATCCAGAAGCGCCAGTTAAGGAAACACAAGTATAACAAAACAGAAAGTAATGCTGTTTGGGACTGCAATTATAGAAATACATTGATGCAACATATTTAATGAACTGAATAAAGTTGAAATATACTTGTTTCAACTTAAAGCCAAGAACAATTATGAGATTTAACAAGACGGCAGGGGGTACCAGTACCAAGTGCAGCAAGGGTGGATATAAAACCAAGAAATCAGAAAGAAAAAAAACTACCCAAAATTCACATTTCTAGATATTAATTACCAAGGTAAATATATGATCCACATAAACCTAGTCAATGCTTCATTACTGATTAAGTATAATATTTTATAGTAACAGGATAACTATTTTTCTCCACAATTTTTTCCTGTCCTCAGTGAAATCCTAATGGAGGAAAATGCATGGAATTTATCATATAATATCTACAGGAGTTGAATTCTTCAATTGTGTCTACATGAAGATACAGTAAGTTTTTTCAGGAATGAAGCAATACCTGTAAAGGATATACAGAATCAAAAACAAAAAGACTCTTGATTTAAAAGGATCTTCCCATGCAGCTAAAAGATGGAGTAGTTTGCCAATTTCAAATAAAGGAAAAAGTAGATCCTGCAACAGAAGAAGATCATACACAACTTTAACTTGTTACAACCATATTCCATATGATATAAGTCACTACGACACTTTAAATTGAAGGCCATAAGATTTCCAGCTTTGTCAGTATATCTAGTATGAATTTCAGAAAGACAAACACAGACGGATATAAGTGATGACCCCACTAAAGTAAAATTGACCACGGCAGACAGTAACTCTCAGGGTCATAATTTAACATTTTTCACAAGAGAAAAGAGAGATGCATTCTCCAGAAAGGGCACCTACCAGTAGTCCCAACCTGTTAGTTTTGCAGAAGTGGATTTCCTTCCAAGGCACAAAATATTCTAAAAATTCATTTTTGGAATAAATTGAACCAAGGGTGCTACCATCAATTTTGTCTTCTGATATGATGAAATGTTGCAGATCTAAGACCCTAAATCGTTGAACATTCACTGAGAGAGTCCAAAAAGGTTGGAGCAGTTTATACTCCTAGAAAAGAATATCAACGACACACATGCTCCGGCAATTAAATAGGCATTTTAATAATTTTCTTCTGCTGTCACGTCTCAACAAACTAACTTGTAAGTGTCTAGTAATATCTTTTATAACGAGAGGTTGAAGAACATTTGTATGTACCATGAGAGATCTGCTGAAGGATAAATGGCCACTAGATACCAAGATTAAATAGCAAAAAAAAAAGAAGCCTGATATAACTAAGGTAGCCAAAGTGGAAAGCTGATGCAAGAAGTTCCACGAAAGCCACAGAGTAGTCTTGAAGGAAAAAAAGAAAACATTTTGTAATGAGTAATAAATTGTTTTTCACCATGAAAAATTAAACGCCCAAGCGGTAAAAAAATGATACTTGCATGTTAACAGTCAAGAGTCTAAATATGGTCCATATACAGGATGTTTTGTCTCTATGGTCACTTGCAAGGTTCCAAATAGCTTCATTGTAGAATTTTTAAGTCGAAGGCCAAATTACTACTAAAGTTTAACTCACCTGAAGCATTCTCTTAAGACCTACATATTTGGAGTGCAGAAGCAAATACACTCTTTCTAAGACCTATATGAGAAAATTTAGTGGGAAGAAAATAAACAGGAGCTTTTGTCTGAGTAAATTTTCCAACAACTAAAATGAGATAAAACAGAGAAAACTCTGTATTATATAGCAGCATACCTTAATAGCAGCTAAATTTGTATCTATATCCTCCACTTTGACCTGATATAATGTTGCACGTGCTTCTTCAACTCTGCCAGAGTAACGAACTGATTCTCTAATGGCCAATTGTAGTGGACTTGTCTCACCAACATGGATATTACCAACCAAAACACCATTTTCTTCAGGATTATCTTCCTTCTTTAGTAACAAAAAGCCCATTCTTGTAAGTGTATATAATGAATCTGATAAAGGACCTGTTAATTGCTTTTCATAAGATGCAGTGACAAGGCCATCATGGTTTTGAAATCTGATCCGCATGAGCTCCAAGTGATTATATAGAGCTTCCAAAATCTTGTCACCTTTTGGAAGCTTTTCAGCCAAGTTAAAAGGAAGTATGCTCTTAAAATGTGAGGGCATGCCATGAAAAGCTTCTTTCACAGCACGAGATCTAAAGATACCTAGAGCTGCCTTAGAAAGAGATTCTGCTCTTTGAAACCTTTTTAGTTTGTACTTCCTTATGAATTTATTGGCACGCAGGACTTCCTGAATGATTGCAAACCAGTAGTCTCTGTGGGAATGACCACTAAACTCAAAGACAATGGGCTCGACTCTGCAAACAAATGAATCATATAGCAAACCAAGATCTATCAGTTATCAAGAAGCTATCCTCTGTTCAATTAGATGAGGCCATAATTAAATTTGGCACTTGTTCACTTACACAGAATCCGACTTGCATATAATGGCGTTATCAAAGAAGCGAGCACCCCATGGCCCAGTTAACTCACAATTTACCACCTGCTTCAAGTCCTTGGACAAGTCATATTTGGACGTACCAATGCCTGATGCTTCAAAATATAGGGCATGGCTGGTGAGTGTCAGCCTTCCTGCCATTAAAAACATCCTTCTGAAGCTTCTATGCTGATAAACATTTAACCTGCAGAAAAACAGATTACCGGGAGAAAGATGCTTAACCAGGCCTTGTGGATATTCTGGTGTGCTGCAGAATAGATTTAGCATCAACTTCTAAGATAATTTCTCCATCAGCAAGGCTAAAATTGAAACTCTGTGGTCGTCCATATATATGCTTCATTGATTTCAGAACCCTATAATATACACATTCCGTAAGTGTAATGTCATCAAGCCAAAAGATATGGCATCATAGTCAAATATATTCTGGAGAAATTTATCTGTTTCCAATGCAGCAGTCCGTGATCAAAAGTCGTAAATCCAGATTACAAACGTTACAATGCTTGCTAAACCAGTGGATAATAGCAACCTTATCATCTTAAAAAAGATTAATTACAAGAA